TGGTGGCTTCTAGGGGTTGATTTGTCATCACCGCTTGACATGATTGAAACCTGCAACAAATGTTAGAAACAGAAGAATAAAAAGGACCTCACAACAATCCCTTACGTGTTTCGCTCCACTCTCTCACAGAATGGCACTCAACACTCGTGTTTTACACACTGTAGAACTTGGCTTTTCTCTCAAGTGTTGCTCACACCTCTTGCCTTTTTCCCTCACTCAACTTCCCTCTTTCAGTTCGTTATTGAACTCAATTCAAGTTATTTTGCAAGAATCTAATTCCAACAAATCTGCAACAAGAGTTGAAGGAAACAAAAAGACACAAAGGAACCAACAAGAAAGCAATAAAAGAAACAAACCTGAACGAATTAAAAGAAAAAAAAGAATGGAAATTTGATTGAAACACAATGCAGGAAAGACAAATCAGTTCTAACACTTCCTACTAGGAATTGACTTGACTATTCCTTAATGTAGCATGATTCCTAACTTAGGAGGGAATAAACAAAATTGCTATCTCCTTGTTTGAATAGAATCTAAAGAAAATTTTCCAACTCCTTATTGTAGTGGGATTTCTATTCCTTAATGTAGTAGGATTCCTAACTTAGGAAGGAATAAACAAAATTGCTATTTCCTTGTTTCAACAAAATTCAAAGAAAATTTCCAACTCCTTATTGTAGTAGAATTCCTTCTTCCAACTTTTTACTGGAGTAGGATTCCTTCTTCTTTGAGGATTTGGCCACCAATTTCTTCTCTATATAAGGAATTCCAACCGTAGAATTGTGTTGCTTGTTTCTCTCTCCTTTTTTTTTTCGTTTTTTTTTTCTTCTTTTTCTTTTTTTTTTTGCGATTCCTCCTTTTGTTTCTTTTTCTACGACTTCTCTCCTCTTTTTTTTTTTCTATGCTTTTCTCTCTCTGATTTTTTTTTTTCAGAACCAACAACACAGATTCAACAGAACAAGACGAAAAGAGTTGCAGACAAGAAAGAAAAGAACCCTAATTTTTTTTTTTTTTTTGATGTAAAAACTGAAAACTAAAGATAC